CTAGACATCTCGGTGGCCGAGCAGCAGCAGCTGGGCTACATGCCGCTGCGCGACGACTACGAGATCGAGTACGACCAGGACGCCGAGACGCTCATCAGCGGGCTCTCGGTCAACTACGACGACGAGGACGTGGAGATCGAGCTGAAGCGCGCGCACGTGGACATGTACGTGCGCAAGCTCAGGGAGAGGCAGCGGCGCAAGAACATCGCCCGCGACTACAACCTGGTGCCCGCCTTCCTGGGCAAGGACAAGAAGGACAAGGAGCGGCCGGCCAAGCGCAAGATCACCAAGGAGGAGAAGGAGCTGCGGCTGAAGCTGCGGCCGCTCTACCAGTTCATGTCGTGCAAGGAGTTCGACGACCTGTTCGAGAACATGCACAAGGAGAAGATGCTGCGGGCCAAGATCCGCGAGCTGCAGCGCTACCGGCGCAACGGCATCACGAAGATGGAAGAGTCGGCCGAGTACGAGGCGGCGCGGCACAAGCGTGAGAAGCGGAAGGAGAACAAGAGCGCGGCGGGCGCCCGGCGGGGCAGGGAGGACGGCAAGGACGGCGAGTTTGCGGCCATCGAGAACCTGCCCGGCTTCGAGCTCCTGTCCGACCGCGAGAAGGTGCTCTGCAGCTCCCTGAACCTGAGCCCCGCGCGCTACGTGACCGTGAAGACGATCATCATCAAAGACCACCTGCAGAAGCGACAGGGGATTCCCTCCAAAAGTCGCCTGCCTAGCTATTTGGACAAAGTGCTAAAGAAAAGGATTTTAAATTTCCTCACGGAAAGTGGTTGGATCTCCAGGGACGCCTCCTGAAGCGGCAGCGTGGAGAGCCAGGAGGGCCGGGGGTGAGGGTGGGGGAAGGAAACGCTCTTCCCCCCACCCGTTGTTGCTCTTTCTTAAGCAAATTGAGTTCCTTTCTTGTAGGCTATAAATTCTTTTCGTGGTCCTCTGAAAGAAGCAATAGTAACGATTTTACGTCGGATCACGGGGGACGCCGATACAGGTCTATTTTAACGTAGTCCTAAGGTGATACCTTAAGGTGACGATTGGCCTTTATGTTCAGTCTGGGGTTATGAGATTGGGTAATTTCCTTTTGCGTCTTCCCTTTGGTACGCAACTCGTGCTGTGGGTAAGAGGAGCGACTTTCCGCCCGCCAGCTGCCAGCTTTACCCTGTGACATGACCTGTGGCTGGTGCCGGGGGCTCCCTTGGAGGTGGGGGGGGGGGTATGGCCACCCACGCGGACACCCCAGCACAGCCCCAGCACACGGCACTTTAGGTGGGGGCCAGGGTGGGGCAGGTGGGAAGTGAGGCTGGAGAAGCACGGGAAGTTTCCACAGAAGCTTTAGAGGAAGACTCTGGGGTTGAACAGGGTCCAGATGAGCTTCTCCTTGACTGTCGGCAGCGTGGGGTTCCAGCTTGTAGTTCCCAAGTCGGGAAACCGCCCCTTGCCCCGTTTCCGCTCACTTCGGGCAGGCACGGGAGCCCTGGGCAGGCTCCCTTGTGTGCAGAAGGGGCCAGGGGGGAGCTTGGGTGCGGGAGGGTTAGCATGGGTGCCGGGATTGAGCCAGCTCAGGGGGCTGCTGCTTGCTGCTCTAATGCTTGCGACGCGTCTTACTCGGAAGAACTCGTTCTAGAAGGTTTACGCCTCTGAGTTCTGGAGTACACTTTCTCCAGGATTTTCATCGCGGTCGCAGTTACCTTTTTCCGCTGAAACTGACCTTGACTGTGCTAGCTTGGCTCAAGCATCTTCGGGTGGTGGCCGGCGCTCTGCAGACCAGCCGGCTGGACTGGGCTGCTCACACAGCAGGGTCTGGTGGAGCAGGAAGGAGTCTGGAGGGCGAGGCCCTGCCTTGCTCCTCTGGGTCCCGGTCTTGGACCGCTCGCCTCGGCTTTTGCCCAGGGCCCTCATTCATGGATATACACGGTACCTTCCTTCTGGAACTTGAGTCATTTGTCTTCCTGCTGCTCAGGGTTGGTTCTCATGTCTTAAGACCCTGCTTTAGAGTCAGAGTGACCGCAGACCCCAGCACCCCATTCTTCCTGGAGCTCATCCTGCCTCTCCTGCCCCCATAGCTACCAAGAGACTTGACCTTCCAGAATGTTTGGGCTTGAAGTTAACATTAAAGTGAAGTTATTTGAAAGACAAGAGAAAAAAAGACCCTCATCATTTCCAAGGACTTAATTACGGTGCCTTTTCCTTTCTTTTTACACCCTCCTGTTCCCCAGGGTAAATTTTTCAGCATTAAATAAAACATTTCAAATATACTGTATGTGGCTTTAGTTGTAAAGTACATTGCATGCTGGCAGAAAGCGCTCCGTTAGCTAAGCCCAGGACTTCTCTGTGGACAGAAGGGAAAAAACCAGTGAGCAGTAGTACTACTCACGAGGCCACCTCTGCATCGTCCCCCCACCCCCACCCCCCTGCCCGCAGGGTAACTATGGTTGGCAGAGGGCAGTGCCATCTACCACGGAGCAGTGATGGAGATGGTGCTTAGTGTTGACGGGAGTCTTAGCCAGTGATTCTCACCTGAAGCTCCTGGACCAGCAGCATCTGTCCTGGGAACCTGCTGGAATTGCGGACCCTTGGGTCCCACCCAGCCCTGGAGATTTGGAAACTGTAGGGCTGGGGCCCTTAGAGCAGGTTTTTTTTGAGTCTTCCAGGTGCCTGGGATGCAAGCTGTTAGCTACTCTGCTGTTGGCATTCATTGGATGTTCTACATCCGGTTCCTGGTTTGGTGAGGTTGCCAGACTTAAGCTTAAGAAGCAAAAGATCCCTGTCAATGTGTGGCCTAGGCCAAGGGCTATCAAATGAAAAATGTGCTTATGCAAGTTTTTAGTGTATGTATCTTTTGGAGAGTAAGAAGAATTTATTTAGGCTTGACTGTTTTAAAACACAGTGAATGCCTAACTTACGCTAAAGTACTAACACAACAATGTGTTATGAGCAAAAGTGACTTTATCATGGGTTGCCTCTGACCCCATCAACTCCAGCTGTTACGGTCACGCTAGTCCTTACTGCTCCTGCTGGCTCAGAGTCCTTGAGTTTCCATATGTAATGCTCCTGAAAAATTAGCCCCCATAATCCCATGGAATTGGTTTTCAAAATTTAAACAGACTTTGAGCCAAAGAAAGTTAGATAATCCAGTTATTCAAAAGAATGTTTTCCGGATGGCCGACATCCCAGGAATGTGTAAAACCCCGAACTCTACAATTTTTATCACCTTTTACATATTCACAAGTCGGGAACAAAGTGGTGTCAGTGCTCCTCAAGCTGCAGGTGTGAGACAGCTTACGGAGTCAGGATGGGGACAGCGTGGGACAGGCTCTAGCTCAGCACTTGTGTCAGACCAGTTTTCCCTCCAAAGTGTTAACTTTGCTTTGTTAGGCGGCCCTCTTTCCCTGAAGGTGGCGGTTCACCCAAGAGGTGCGTCCAGCCCGGAGCCAGGCCGCGAAGGCTCCTCGTGAGCAGCCTGTGCCGGCCCGATGGTCTGCACTGAACGCGTCCAGCCTGCAGTTCCGCAAACCCCAAGAGGATGCAGTTACCGATCTCATTTCCAGTGTAAACAGGCATGTACTTAAATGTGTCCCCACTGGTGGCGACACTGTGGTGAGACGCAGTCCAGCCGTCCACCTCTCGGCCTCAGCTCTCAGCAGCGGCAGCTCCGGCTCCAGTCGACAAGGGAGGGGGCTGCACCCGTTTGTAGAAATTCGTTTGAGAGTCACTTATGCCGCTTTGGTTTTACAGAGGAGTTCCAGGAAGGTGACCCGAGATATTCCCAGCTACACAAAGGGCAGCGCTGTGACCCCAGCTGGGTTTTCTCAGTGCCCTACACTGACTGCAGTTCTGGGGCAAGTTTTTGACCAAGTAATTTAAGAGTGCTTAAAGGAAAAGAGAATGTTTTGAAGTGGTATAAATTAAAATTTTAATTATGGGAATATTACCTACATCTTTCAAAATACAAGCAAAATAAATTGCCCCACCTTTATATGCAGTAAATGAATTTAACAGTGTTGACCTTGACTCCTACAAATAGCTCCTGGAAGCAAAGGCAGTGGAAGGTTGGATTCTCTCTGGTTTGTAACGTCGCTCGCTCCACTTTCCTCTCCATGTGAATGAGGAGTGGAGGGGAGGTGTTCTGCTGCAGCTCCTGTGTGTGCGCGGTCCCCTTCCTGGTCCCCTTCCCAGGTCTGTGGGTGGAGACATCTGCCCCCAGCAGAGGCCCAGTTACATGCCAGCCTGTGGCTGCACCAGAGGGAAGCTGACCTGTGCGCGGACGTGGGCCAAGCACATGGCCTTGGGATTTGAGCAGAGAATGGGAAGACTAAGTCACACGTAGTAGGTGGATCCCCTCCACCAAAGTACACAAAACAGTTATCAGAAAGTAGGAAAATAAAACATATTAGGGCTTTAATCCTCTTAAATAAAATTTAAAAATTAAACATTAACATTTCAAATATACCAAGCATGCAGCTGTCAGATTCTGAGAAAGTCCACCTTACTAGGGAAAATAACCTCCAGGCCATCAGTAAGTAGCTAATACAGATCTGGACATTTCTACAAATAGATGAAAGAAACAGGGCAAAAGCGACCGGTTTTGTCAAATTCAGTTACCGGCAAAATAAGGTGGTGAGGGCTGTTCAGGTGCTCGTGCTCACTTCCCGTCTCCAGAGAAAAGCCGGAGGCCACTCACGGCAGCTAGACGGTAGGTAACCAACTATAAACGACCCCACGTACTCCAGCAAGGGCATCGTGGAACTGTTCCGAGCAGGAACGTGCTTAAACCCTCGCCTTCCCTTCACTGGATGGAGGCAGCGGGCTGAGCACAGGGGACAGCGTGGTTCCTGAAGACACGTACTTGGCTTACGACACGTGGACATCGCCAGGCCGTGAGCAGATCGAGCTCATGTCATCCGTGACACCAGGCTCCAGTAGCGTCCCGCTGGCCTGTTCCGTAAGCATGTGGGGCTATTAAAGGTGTATTAAAAATCAACGAACAGACTCCCGAATTAGAGGTCATTCACACATCTGTGCAACCGGCTGAATTCTCTGTTTAGCCGCTGGTTACTACAGTTTTCCAACAAGATTTGGGAAAGGGTCAAAAGTAGAGAAGAGATGAGCCAACCTTTCAGGAGTTACAGCAAACGATCTCACAGGACCCAGGGCAGCCCTGCGGCGGCCGCTACGCCGCCTTCACCACCCCCACCAAGGCGGGCCGCAGGGTGCGCCCGTGTAGCTTGTAACCCACTTTGCTGACCAGCGCCACCGTGCCCGGCTCCTTCCCCTCCACCGGCGTGTGGAACAAGGCCTCATGCTCATAGGGGTCAAACTTGGCCCCCACGGGGTCCAGCCGGAGCAGGCCGTGCTTCGTGAACACCTTCTGGATCTGGAGCTCCGTCATCACGAGCCCCTCATACAGGTTCTTCAGGTGCGGGTTGTCGTCTTTAACCTCCTCCTTCGGGACACTCTGCGTCGCCTTCTCCAAGATGTCTGCGACCTCCAGCAGGTCCTTACAGAAGCCCTGGATGCCTAGATGAGGTGGAAAGACCTCGTCATCTGCATTCCCCGCCCACTGCTGCACAAGCTATTGAACGGTAGCCTTGCAAACCGTTCACCTGTCCTCGAATGTTCGTGGTATGTTTAGGGGAAAAAAAAAACCCCACCCCACAAAAACCAAAAACCTTTTCTGGGTTCGGACCAGAGCTAACTGGGCACGAAGGCAAACAGCTAACGACATGCAGAACCGCACCCCCCGCAGTGCTGCCCGGGCTGAGAAACCCCGCGCTCGCACACATCGCCCCGCGGACGTCACCGCTGCTGCCCACAAACCGCAGGCCGAGTGGGGCGGGGGCAGCTGCGCTGGGTCAAAGTCCCCCAGACGCACCCTGGGCCTTAACCTCACGTCACCTAACAGAAAAAACAACACAGGAGAAAAGGCACGCAAAATCCAAGGCGGTGTATCCCAGCGGGTGGTGTGCGGTTTCAGGACAACGTGTCAGATGCTGAGCGAAGCTGGGGGTGAGCGGAGCGCTCGAGCGGGGACCTCCCTCCCCCACGGCTCTGACGGGGCACGACGCGGCATCCCGTGCCTGGCTCTGCAGGAGGCAACACCTGTGTATGACTTCCTGTCACTTTCCCTCCTGCTTTAAAATGGAATTTAGGGGCGCCTGGGTGGCTCAGTGGGTTAGGCGTCCTGACTCTTGATTTCAGCTCAGGTCTTGGTCTCACGGTTTGTGAGATTGAGCGCCGCATCGGGGCTGTGCTGACAGTCAAGAGCCTGCTTAGAATCCTCTCTCCCCCTTGCTCTCTGCCCCTCCCATGCCCTCGTGTACGCATTCGCTCTCAAACTCTTAACAAATAAGTAAAATGGAATTTAAAAATTCCTACCTAATAAAACCACGTGCGTCTATCGTGGATTAAGCTTGTGACAGTTCTTGGGGAACTGCCTGCCCTCACGGACTGGACGGTCTGAGAGACCGGCACCAGGTAATCCCACAGGTGACAAGTACGATTACAGACCACACCCCCAGAAGGAGCATTCCAGGGCGCTGAGGAAAGATCCTACTAAGGGGCTACATTTAGACTGGAGAGTCAGGGGAGAGGTCTGTGAGCCAAGGCCTGAAGTTATCCAAACATCTGAGGACTGAAGAGCGGCCACTCTACAGGGAAGAGGCGGGCCCAGAGTAGAGGAAGGTTCCAGATGGGTTAGCAGAACGGGTGGACATGTGTCCCAGCTGCACAGGCCCGCTTTGGTCTCAGCTGCAGACCACCCCAGTAAGGCAAACATCTCAAAAAAGAGAATCAAATGAATGTTGTGGTTTCTCAGAGCAAATCAAATTATGTTTATGCTGTAATCTATAAGTGTAAAATAGCATTATGTATAAAAAAACAGCATACCTTAAATAATATTTTTTCCCCAAAACCGCTAACCATCATTTGAGCTTTTGGTGGGTTGTAACCACAGACTGTAACAAACATAACAATAAAAAGGTGGAGACGTTGTGAGAATTACCAAAATGTGGCACAGAGACATGAAGTGGGCAGATGCTGTTGGAAAAATGACTTGCTCGACATAGGGCTGCCACAAACCTTCAATCTGTAAAAAACTGCGTTATCTGCGAGGCGTAGTAAAGCGAGGTATGCCTGTGTTTTAAAATCCCTTTGGCTCAGACCAGGGCGCAGGCGGCAGAGGGAAGTGGACGGATGAGAGACCAGCCGTTCACCACTCGTGGGACGGGATGCGCGTGGGGCCAAGGGACAGGAAAGGGTAACTTCAGATTACTGATCTAAATAAGCACTAGGATGGATAACAGAATCATCTACTAAAATGAGAAAGAAAAGCACAGATAGAGCGAAAATCGAAATACCTGTGAGACATCCAGGTAAAGACAGGGAGCACACACAGGACACACAGGAGTAGAACTCAGAAGAAATGTCTGAGCCACAAAGAACCTGTGCGTGATGCCTTTCAGACCCACTGGAGGGCGAGTCTCCTGGGGAGCACGACGACAGGAGGGGAGGCCAAGCCCCAATCCCTGAAGGACCCAGGCATTTGAAGGCCAGGCAGATAAGAAGTCAACGAACGGCATTACCACCAAAAGGAATAAAAAATACGTTGAGAAGAGATCTGCTATCTGTTCAGTGTGGCAGCACGAGACCTGGATCTTGGTGTCCACTTGACTGTGAACCTACAGTGTATCCCTGGGCAAAGTATTTAATGTCTCACCGTGAGCCCGAGGTGGTTCTAGAATGTGGGAGAATGATGCCTGCCTGCCGGTTCCGTAAAAAGAGTTCAGCGAGTACTCAAATTGCAGCCTTATGTTCAACGGACACCACCACCATTTACTGGCTCCGTGACGCATGGAGAGTCATTTAAGCCTCAATGACCTCGAGTGTAAAATGGGAAGGACAGTAACACGAGTATGTAAATGCTGACAGTGCAGACGGCTTAGATCTTTCTAACGGGTTACTGCTGAAGTAGCTAAAGAAAGATCATCAGGAAGGCCGACCTGCTGGAATTATCTGCAGGCTCAGACAACCTCAGGCTAACCAAGGTCTGCACGCAGTAGGGCAGTGAGCACACTCCTTACTGGAGGGATTACACCTAGAATTCTAGTGTGAGTTACAACCGTGACTTTTGCTCCTTACAACTTTACTGCTGACCCATTTCAACTACAGAGAATGCACCCAGCAGCCTCTCCACTGCCTCACCCTGGCGGATTCTGCTGTCTGACACCCACAGACGCACTCCGCCCACCTTCCCCACCTCACAGTTCTCTAGGATTGATATCATATGGTGTTTAAAGTTACCATATAATTTTGCCTCTTCCACCAATTTTTGGCTCCTCTGTCGCAAATTCTCAGTATCTGCCAAAGCTCGCTTATATTTTTCCTAAAAAAAGAAAAAAACAGGAAATTTACATGAATGAATCATGGAACGAATTCATGAGAGCAAATCTGACATTAGCAAACTCCAAGTCAAAACACAGATAACATTTACCATGTTTGGGATTTTGGACCACAGGCAGTGCAGCTGAATACGCAGAAGTAAGTTATACCTGTGTCCTTATTTTCAATGCGTGGAGAGGAAAATGTCAAGGTGCCTCGCATTTATACTGCCCCCGTGTGCACAGCTGGGAAAGGGCGAGGAAAAACATCTACTTTCTCGTGGCTCTGATGGTTTCATCACCCGTCAAGGAAGGACCACTCACTTCCTCGGCACAATTTCCAGCCTCAGGGGATCCCAGAAGGCTGGTTGGGGCTGACGCACCCAGTTTCCACACCTGAAGGGGTTGAGGAGAACCACAGCCCACCGAGGAGATAAAACCCCATCTGCGAACCTTCGATACTTTGAACGTTGCCCAGACGTGGCTCCATCCCAACATTTGCTGGGTAGCGATCACTGAACAATGGCGCCCTGTTCGTTTTTCCAACTTCCCCGTCATCGCGCTCGTCTACTGAGCGCTCCTGCCTTAACATGGGCTCAGTTACTCTGGGGCCTCTACCCTCACCTGTCTTCCGTCTGCAGGCGGTTCTAGTGCCGTGGTTAAGAAGCCGGCTCTGGAGGCTCAAACCTTGGCTCTGCCACCCTGTAGCTAAGTGACCTGGGGAACTTCACCTAACCTTTCTTGGCCTCAGTTTCCCCATCTGTAACCAGGGCTCTAACGGTTGGCTCACAGGGTGTTGTGAGGATTAATATACACAAGGTGGTAAGAACAGAGCCAGTATATAGCGTTTGATATTATCATTGGCAAATCCTTAAAGGCCCAGACTTGTGCCACCTATGCCTCTTCATGTGAAGTAACAATCAGTCTTTCTAACTAGTTCATGAGACTCCCTGCCTCCCTGGAAGAGCACAACCACCACACCTCTGGCCCCAACCCTGGTCTTCCCCTAAGACCCAGCTCAAGTGCCAAAGTGAGTGTTCCTCACCTGTAAAGACCGTCTCAAGTCTTAATTCAGCACAATCTACGCGGCGCGTGAAAATGATTCCCATGCCAGAGCCAGAGCCACACAGGATTTGGGTTCGAGTCCCTTCTTCAGCAAGAAGCGGCTATGGGTCCCAACGGGCGAATGACCAAACTTATCCAAAGAACCTCGCCTGCAGTCCAACAGACCACACTCCCCACGAGAGCCTGTGCCACCTTACCACGGTCTCCTTCAGCTGCTCTTCTAGCTTGGCCTTCTCGTCCAGGAGTATCTTCTCTGCAGAGGGAGTATCTGTCTTCTGTTCATTCTGACCCACGTCCTCTTCCAGGTTCTGGCCGCTGTTCTTCTGTTTCATAGCGGTGCACAACAGCCGAGGAGAGGATCTAAGATACGTCCACAACGCTATGAATTAAGACTGTGGGTTTTCTGCTTAAAAGTCAGATGTGTGAGGGGCAACCGGATGGTTTGGTTGGTTAAGTGCCCACCTCTGGATTTCGGCTCAGGTCATGATCTCACGGTCCGTGAAATCGAGCTCTGCATCGGGCTCTGCGCTCAAGAGTGCAAAGCCTGCTTGGGATTCTCCCTCTCCACTCTGCCCTCGCTTGCACATGTGCACACACACCCTCTCTCAAAATAGAAACATTTAAAAAAGGTATCTACAGACAAGGTACTATAATTTTGGGTTTAAACACGATAAAAGAAGAACCACGTGCTCCGGAAGGCTCAGAGTAGAATGTTTCTATCTTTGGGGAAATGGAAGACCGTGAAAGGCTTTGTGCAGAGGGGCTCTAAAGGACAGATAAGAGTTACGCATAAGGAGTCTGGACTGGAGGTAGGAAAGCGGAGGGATATACAGGGGGAAACCAAGAGCTCTGAAACGAATACTGGAAGTGACTTTAGATCTTATCCAATCTGACCCCCACAGGAAAAAGGTTAAGTCATAAGCCCAAGGTCACGAAGTTTTTAATGAATGACAGAATGGTCTTAAAACTCAGATTTCTCTTAAGAGCTGCTCTTAATTGTGCCGCAGTTCAATCTGAAAATAAACTCTAGTCAGTTTTCTTCCCAGATTAACTGCCTCAATGAACCGGAGAGTTGTCAGTACGCAGAACACACGTACAAGGAGGTTTCCGGCAGCACAGCAACAGGCTGGGAACAGAGCGCTCGTCAGAGGGGACGTTGTTGGATAAACTGTTGCTTCCACAACATGGACTACTCCGCAGCCACCAAAAACAACGTCCGGCTCTCCTCTCTGGGACACGCTACAGCTGTACTGTGCGGTAACAGATGCAACGGAGAGAAACCGGCCAAACGCGACGCCCTTTCTAAGGACGAACCAGAAATCCTGTGTACATACCCTGTGTCTCAGGCCCGGAGAAGAATGGAAGGACCCACAGTTACTAGGAGGAGGACCGCACTAACCTTTCTTTCGTGTTTTATTTTTGTGATTTAAAACAGCTCAGAACCTAAACACTCAGTGTGCTGTTGTGAGGCCGGTCTGATTTTTCCGTGGTGCTGATTCCTGGGTGGGAAAGTCGCAGTCATTCTGCAGTTCCGCTCTGCTCCGCGGTCCCGATTCCTGTGGCTCAGCCCACACAGGGTCGGGGAGCAGCGTGGCAGGGGAACGACAGGGAAGAGTCCGTGCCCAACCGGTTCTCCAGAGAGCGAGACTGAGCCTCATGGAGCTTAGTTGCTCTTAGAGCCATGACGGCTACTCAGCTCTCACCCCCACCCCCAC